GTTACCCAACCGGGAGCTTGGCCCTTGCAAGGGGCTCTAATGAGGACTACGGGGAAGCTTGAGCGGTTTTCGATACCTAGGTAAAAATACCAGAGTTGTCGACGGGAGTTTGCATCTCTACCTCATCTTTATCTTCCACATTTACTTTGCTACCTTGGTTGTGTGCTTTACCTTCCTAGCTTAGTTGATAGGCTAGATGATAGGATTAGAACCTAGGTTGCATAACTCTTTACAGTAGAGATAGCAACACACCTAGAAAAACCATAGTTGCATATTTAGATAGATTACTTTCTTGTATAGGTTTGGACTAGATGGAAATAGAGGCCTTAGTTAGAAGTAGAATTTTAAGTTGCCTAATTCACCCCCCCCCACCCTCTTAGGCGTCACGATCCCTTACATCGGGCATGCTTGTCCACTAAGCAACACATATTGGAATTATGATCTAAAACTTGACCAAGATGATGAGAATGAATTAAGAGCTGGCTAGTGGTTGGACCATGGCAAGATGGGTGAGGTCTTGAATGGTGTAGCTTCCTAGGCTGGTTAAGGATCGTGTATTTGTGGTAGTAAGACATGAACATACTTGTATAAACCACTTGTCATATATGGGTGTGGCATGCCAAATACTTTGTTGCGATTGGGTTTCCTATGGATTCGGCGTGAGGTGTGGTGCAGAGTAGCTAGAAGAAGCAAGTACTTTGGTCCCGTTAAAACCTTTCATGGGCTTTCTTGGCCGAACTTGAGAAATGTTGAGGCATCGAGATATCCCTTATATATCGATGGGTTGTATGGGTGATATCCCTTGTCTTTGGTGGGGTTAATGTGTACCCCTCTGCAGAGTCTTGAATTTGATGCTAAAAGTTCTATGCTTCTAGATATGGACTAGTGTTGGAACAAGGACTCGTGGAAGATCGAGATCCATTTGCAAATTGCTTACAATTTATTTGAACCATGCTATGATTGTCAATTGCTTAGTTATTATGGTTCACATTTACGTTCTCGTATAAAATGCTTTTATGCAAAACCAAATGCAATCCTTGCTAAAGAACCAAATGCATAATCCTTGTATCTATACTGGGTAAGTCCTGTAGAGTACAATTGAGTACTCACCCTGTAATTGTTAAGTTTTGCAGGTAATGTTGCTCCAGCCTATGGGTTCTTCTATGCCCTTGAGTCTGCAGAGGATCAGGAGTGATAGATGAGTTGGTGATGCGTAGATGCGTGGATATGGCACACCCATGCATTGTATCTTGAAAATTAGGTTAATTTCAAGACTTCCACTCGTACTCTAGATGAATGTGTTGTGTAATGACTAAGTATGGAACAAATTGTTGTAAACCTAATGTATTACTTTAATGTGATGTGAATTAATTGTGGTGTTGTAATAATTCCTTTCCATCCGCATGATCCTAGATGAAGGTTGCTTCAGTACATCATATCGGTGGTGCACCGAGATGACCGATTAAGTTCTTTATCTAACTAACAGTAGTCAATGGAAGACTACTTAGTTAGGTAATCCACTTAAAAGGGAGGAGATCCTAATAGGTAGGCATTGCCTTCTCAGCGAGGTCAACCAAGTAGTTTGATAACCAGAGGAGACGTGATCGATGTGTTGCATCTCCATCAAATCGATGGTTATCTCCACCCAACGGAAGATCAAGGCCTTCGTTCCCAACACTAGGAACCACTTGAGAAAGCGTTAATCATGCCATGTTAGCTAGCCTGGACAACATGGTCAGACCCAACGTTTCATCACCACCGAGAGCCGAGATGCTTCTGTCAAGAGCCGGATCATAGACGAAACACGTACGGCGTGACCCATACATATTGGAATCGAACTCTGTACTTATCATCACTTGACGTGAGTTGTCCTAACTCGTATGAGTATAGGTCATGAATCTGTATCACATACAAGACATGGAAGACATGAGTGCAATTTGGAAAGTAAAACAAGCGGAATGGAAGAAACTATCGATGAAAATTGGAAGAGTGCTATATCTTGCTATCTAAATGCTTGCTTTTTGGTTCTGATGGTTTATATAGGGCAGTATTTGTTTTCAATTATATAGTGGCAAAATCGTTGTACGTAGTTCTATTTGATTAAGGGCCATAGTCCTATAATGAATCTATAATGTTCATGTTGTATATAGATTAATAATTGCTTTTGAAGTAGAATTCGGACTTCTTTCTTCTTTATATCTATATATACTAGGTAGTCTGCCCGTGCGTTGCTACGAGATAACTAAACTTTTATACTAAAAACACACGGATCATACGATAAGATAACAATACTGTGAAATTAAATACTGACGTTAAAGTGACATTTAATCCAAAATGCAAAGTTCGTGAAATTAACATAGTCATGGAGAGCGTGGCGTCGCAAGCTCACCAACTCTACTGTAAAATTCCATAGTATGCATAGAAAAAAACCACACTGCAATACCATTAATCATTAGGCCATCATCATCACTGTAGACTGTAGAGGCACTTTGTTGTGCTTCTCACAGTACAAGCAAACTAACTGGTGCCAAGTGGCCACCATTTTCACAAATGAGAATGGTACATTTAACAGGAAACAGATAATACCTTGTTAACAAGATTCTCAAACGCTTTTGATCCATTTTGCTCAATGTATCTCTGTGCAACTGAAATTACATCATCATGCCTACTTGATTCATCCTTCATTGGAATATACCAGAAGCACACAAACTTGCTGATTTATAATCATTGGCCTCACAAAATGCTCATATACATGTGCACCTCCATTAAACCATGGCAATACTAACCAGCAATTGAGAAACGGATTTGCGTAAGACCAAAAAGGGAGCCTGCAAAGTGCAAAAGTTATGCCTGTGATGAGCATTTCCATTCATCTCATGATGTATCCAAAAAAACTTATCAGCCAAATCATGAGAGAGCACTATAGCAATGAACGATGAAGTGCAGTACTAAACCAGAGATGGTCAATAGCAAAGAAATCAAGGTAAGATGGAATGTGCACATAAAACTAAAGCTATGATGAAATGTGCACTTGTGTAGAAAGTTTGTTGTTTTTACCATTTGAGTACTGGAGCAAAGGTGAGCACGAATATAGTGATAAATGAGTACAGCACCCAGTACGTGAGCCATTGCTGATCATCCACAGCAGATTTTTTTTAATTGCTCTGACAGAGGCATACCTGTGAAAAACGTCCAATGAGGTAAAACATAAACAATAACCATCAAATAGAAGACAGTTAACATCTATATGTTTATCTAAAAGTTTATAGGATCCACTTACAAATGATACGCAAGTGAAACTATGGGCCTGCAAAGACAAACAAATAGAGGATTAAAAATTCTTCAAATTGCAGCTAAACATTCAGTGATGTTTAAAAACCATAACTGCACCTAATTTTCACTTGACTGACAGAAAGTGTCACAGGTAAAAGCTATCACATTTAGCAACCAATAGTTAGCCATATTATATGGATATCACGTGCTTATGTTGAGGTACATTTTTTTTCTTGGGCGTAAAAATCAGCACTCGTAACCATGACAATTTAAAAAAACATTAAGGGTCTATCATAATCATCACTGTTGTAAGGGCTGAGCAAACTGACCCAATAAAACCATTTTACCAACATTGTCCTATTCTATCCCCCGAAGGCAACATCCATCAGGCAAGTAAATAATGGACAGGTAACCAAAGAAACTAATTAGCTGGTATCATTGATACAGTGACCAATCTAGCTTGAAACATCCATCATGCAAGTAAATAATCAGACATATTGTGATTGAAACATTATGTCAAAAGGCAACTGGAAAACAATCAGCCTAGGAGAAAGATTAAAGGATATAAATTTGTCAACAGAAGGGGAAAATGAGAAACTAAATTAGTAAACATGGTGTGCTGTTTACTCTCAGGCATTCCAACCTGCTTACTATCAGAAAAAGAAACTAATAAGATGAAGGGCATGGAAAAAAAGGGAGAGCAAATTAACAAACTCATTCTGGTGTCTAATATCAAGTATGCAAACATTCATAGTATGATGAAAATGAGTACTAACTTTGTCTGTCTCTCTGTGGCATGATTGGCAAGGATCCTAAAGTCTTCTTAACATTGAATGAGAAGTTATATAAGGATTTTAGATTTGTTCAATCTGCTACCTCAATCCATGGCATCAGATTATTGAGAAACAATTAAAATAGACATCTGTTAGAGCATTGGAAATAATTTTGCTTCACTGGTAATGAAAATAGGACACTTACTAATAGAAGCTGAATCTTTAGGAGGTTAGTATGCTCGTACAAATGCACATGCACTAAATTGGCTTTGGTGTTGCATCTGGGGATATTAATTTAAAATTTCATTCAAAAATGACTGAAAACATACATTTTCTTGTAGGTTCTTCTAATACCCACTTCCTATCCTAAAATTCTCCCAATTTCATTTTTTTCTTCAAAAGAATATCAAAATTCAATAACTTAACCTTAATCTCAAGATATGATGCATCAAATGGACTAATCAGTAATACTGAAAACCATGTGGAAAAAAAGGCATACCATTTGAACGACAGCATCCTAACCTTCTTTCCAAGCAGTTGGATTTACCGCAGAGGTGCATAAAGAACTTTGGTAGGTACATCTTGTACCACCATCTTCCTAGGGAGCCTCCAGAATTATTAGCAGTTATATTTCCATTGCTCTCGCCTTTTCAGACAAAGCCATGTGCGAAGCTAATAAAGTGCAAAGGAAATATAATCAGTTATCGGCACAAAAAAGTTATAAGCCTAATTTGTTTTCATGATAATTGTACTGCTCACTGCAAATTAATGAGATTTTTTCCAAAACATTAAAAATGTACGACAAGAACAATAAGGACAATGACAATGTAAGTAACAACATTAACGATGCATCCTGTGACAGTTTCATCTACTGGCATTTGCACTGAATTGAGACACATTAATATCAACCATTAATTTACACTGAATCACTTAATAGAGTAGATTCAGATAAGGTCATGTGAAAACAGAAGAAATGCAGGGGCTTGTGACCACCAGCATCCTCCTTCCAATGCTATGAAACAGCCAGTACAGCATAGCTATGAAATCGGTTCAGCACATAGTCTCATGCGTTTTGAGAGTCTCAAGAACAATCCAAGCCAATTACCTTTGCCTGAAGCTCGCAAATGGCAAAGCGTCCCTTCTCCAGCTCCTTTGTTTCCATCTTGCACCAATTCTGGAAGCAGATAGCCACCAGCTAAACCATTAAGATCACATAATACTGTATTCAGATATTAGATCCAACTAACCCCTAAGCACAGTGCAATAACAACTCGATGTGGATTGTTTAGATCGATACACATGTTCATATACATCAAGTTCAAGAGATCATGGCTAAACCAGCACACATGTTCATAAATCAAATCTGTCGAGTTCCAACTATTAAGGATAAATAACAAACCAGGAGATTCCATTAAGTGAAGGAGGGATGAAAATAATACCTTTGGAGGAGGTTCAGTGGAGGGATCAACAAGAGAAGGCATCTCAGATCAAGCTGCCAGTGAGCAGATCCACGCTAGGACGAAGCCCTGCTGGACGAACGGCGGTTTGGGGGCGGGGCACGGTCAGGGTGGGGCGTGGCAGCTGCGGACGCGGCAATCCGTGCGCGTCCACGGTGGCGGACGGCGAGGCTGCGGGTGCCGGCGCGGCGGTTCACCATGTCCGGCGGAGAAACAGCAAGAGGCGGTTGGTTTAGAGCTGGAGAGGGATCCATGGCCTCCTCAACGCGTCCATTGGCGGTGGCTTTGGTGTCGCATCCGGGGATGCATGCCTGTGGTGGGCGCGAGCGGCGGCGGTGCGGCCTGCTACGGGCGGGCACGGGCGTAGGGTGGGCGCGATGGGGGCGCGGCGGCGGCGCGGTCAGAATCACGGGAGCGGGTTTTGTTTCCTTGCAACAACGTTTCTTTCCTGGAAGGGAGACGGGATCGCAGGCGTGGACAGACGGACAAACCAAAACAAATATCGCACAAAAAAATATCCACGCATTGTTCTTTTTAGTTATAGGAGATGATTAGGTTGGACGAAAATTTAGAGATGGGGTATGGGTAGATCATAGTTCAGCCGAGAGATGACAGTCGGATGCATACGCACGCCATTTAGCTAATAGAGTCCGTGCTTAGCCGGTTGATGTTGATATCCTTGCGCATTTTACACGAAAAAAATCCTGATATTTCTAGGAAAGCGAAAGATCAAGCGCGCGCTGAGGCCGGAGCTTATCTATATGATATATGATCCGAATAGCACCATGCCAATATTAAAAAAAAGGTACTCTGTAAGAAAAGAATGAAAAAAACGAACTTGTCACCATATTCACATGATCCCGCTCAACACGCCGGCGCTTTTGCACTGGTCGGCACGTTTTTTATTGTAGATGCCCCGCGGCTCAAGTTTCTATCCCGTGCCTGTTATCTGGATCCATAAGCGAGCGCGTAATCGATTGCCTAGCTAGGAACGCCAATTCGACTGAGAAATCGACTCAGGTTTCGCTTGCACGTTTTGATGGAGGCTTGCACGTTTTATTCACCGTACCCTGTTACCACAATTCACAAAACAACGTCATCAAAAGTCGTTTATGAATATGGCTAACAAATTCTAACAAGTCGTATAGATAATTATTAACAAGTTGTACGAAATTTGTGGAGGAAAGAAATTTTTACTTAGTAGTAAACTTGACCGTGTGTTGCAACGGAGCCGATGCGTATGTCAAACTCCATATCATCTCTACACGAGACCCAAGTTGTTCTAACTTTTGCAACAAAACCCAATGCTTATAGGAATCGAACTTTGTATCATCTCTAATACGAGTAGTTCTAACTTATATGAGTGTGGTCATAAGTCTAAGTCACATATAAGATACGTGGGGCGTGACCCAATAAATATTGGAATAAGATCATGTATCCATCATTTTCTAACTCGTATGAGTCATTAGTCCGGGTCAAGTAAAAAAGTGAAACAGAAAAAAAAACTCTACGAGTAGTTAGAGGAAGGTGGACGAAAAAAAATGAGATGAAATTTTGGCTCTTTAATATTGATATATAGATAGATAGATTAGGTATAGATATAGATTAACATAAAAAAGACTGAATATATGACATTAGGGTCAATGAGTTAAGCCTAACGAAGTAACAAACTACTTCCTCTGTCTCTGAATAAATAGATTTCTAGAGTTGTAAGTCAAACTTTGTAAACTTTGACCGAACTTCTAGAAGAAAAATGTTAAGACTTATAGTGTCAAATTAGTATCATTACATTTACCATACAATATATTTTCATATGGTGCTCATTTTATGACATAGATATTTTTACTCTTTTTATAAAGTCGGCACATATTCTAGGAATTGATTTATTTGGGGACGGAGGGAATATATCATACAATTATACTAAGTAAAATAACAAGCGGTAGACAGCAAATAGCACCCTCAGTCACCAAGATGGCTTATATAGGCCTCTCAAATATTTTGGAGGCATTGGCATAGCAATACTAACATGGCACTTATGAACTATCCAGGCTCAGAGAGCCTGATAAAAGATGACAACATAATCCATCCCTCACAGAAATAAAGGGCGGGCGGAAGAGACTACCAGGTCAGCAAAAACGCAAATTCAATTGCACGACACGTCAACATCACTCGGAAGCACGAGCGCGCAACCTGCCACATCGTCTTCTTCCTCCTTTCAGGACTCTATGCCCATCAACCTTATAGGGAGAAGAGGCCAGGACTCTATGCCCAGCAGCCTTATAGGGAGAAGAGGCCTCGGAGGTGGCCGGACCGGTAACGGTGGCGGGTCAAGGGGCAGCGAGCAAGGCGGTGGGGACGCTGCCGAGCAAACAGCGGAAGACAACCACATGGACGGGGCCAGCGGTGAGGGCAAGATGCTCGAGCTCTTCTCCTCCTGCTAGGGTTAGGGGTGGGCGGGATGGAGCGGCGGGGGCGGGCGGCAGTGGAGACCGGAGGTGGAAGCGCGCTAGTGCGGTTCAAGGAAGAACAGTCACGCTCTTTCCAAAACGCACGACCGGTCACAGCATAACGCGCTCCCAAGAAAAACTCTTGCACCAGGATGTAAATGACCATGCCAGGTATCTTTGCGCAATTATGATGGTAGTAATTCATGATGAGTACAGGCCTAGTTCTCACAATACAAATAAAGCTAAGCGCAAACACTCAATTTCCCCCCATGAACTCCTTCATGTTCTTCAACCAAACAACATACTCTTTCTCATCCTTTCTCATCATGTACTCGTACAGCCAGTCATGTAGCGAATGTTTGAACCCCCTGACCTCAAGATACCTGTGCAAGGCCTTCTGCAAGCTCTCATCCAAGACCCTGCATGGCAAGAAATGAATAACATGAACCACGGGGAAATAAAAACTGCACAAGACAAAACATAGCTCAAAGCATCTATCATCTTTGCATCAAGGCATCAAGCATGGTTCACATGCTTTATCCTTAGCAATATGTTAGTTGTAGTTTTATCACACAATCTACAGCCACAACAAATAGAAGGAAAACTGCATGCATATCTATTGAATTTTATCAAGTTTTTGTTCATTAGATGTTTAGTTGCCAACTATTGCATCTTCCAATCTGCTACTGGTGTTCTTGTACTAATAGCAGGTCGCATCAATATGCATGATCACTGTTGAAGTTATTCTGTCAAAAGAAAATGTCTAAGTTATGCAAATAGTTTACATGCACAAGGGGCCTTCTTGAATGTAGAATCCAATGCTTAGGCTACGTGAACACATCTGGCCTTCCCACTTATAAGTTTTGTGTTAATAGCATGACTTGCATGACCATGTCAAGCAATGCAGTGTGTGCATCCATTTTGTCATGCATACTGAGTTGATGCTCTTTGAGATACTTAAACTGCTATATGTCAGGCTCATGTCAAGCAATGTTTAGTGTTTACCCACCGTGCCAATTAAACCCAGGCACAAATATTTAGGTCTTTGTTACATTGATTATCTAATAGCTTGGCAAACAAAATTTCCTGTCAGATTTGGTTCACAACTCCAATTGAACATACATTGTTTGAATCTAGTTTCCATTCCTCTGATTGCAAAATAAAAAGGAATAAGGGAGCACCAAGAAAACAAAGACAGGTGCTAACAACAACAGAGAATGCATCCTTACAGTGCTAATGAGCAGGAACCAGTCCAGATGGCAAGATAAACATAAAAAGGTAAACCATCTCTAGTCATGACAAAAGCAATATACATGAGCCTGAACATGCAAGTAGTCCGTGGCTAAGGATCCTTGATGGAAATACTCCCTCCATTCCAAATTATAAGTTGTTTTGGCTTTTTCAGATACATAGATTTTACTATGCATCTAGACATAGCGTATAGGTGCATAGCAAAAACTATGCACCTAGAAAAGCCAGAAAGACTTACGATTAGGAACATAGGTAGTATTATTTTTCAACGATTAAATGTCTTGTGTAGGGCATATTCTACTCCTGAATAAAACAATAGCAAATAGATAAGAAACAAAGAACTTACGGAAATCGTGGCCCCTCATACACATTCTCAGCAGGGTTATCACGGTTCAGCACCCTCATATTTTCAATTGCTAGTTCGTCATCGTTAAAGTTGCAGTCAAATTCTAGGATTGGACCTTCTGGTTTTTGAATACTGACAACCATTTGAATTGCTGGTTTGAAAGATTCCTCATCTTTGTCACTCTTATCATCCTCATCATCCAAATCTTCCTCTGTATCAAAGTTGGTGTATATAGCAGCTTTAATTGTCTCCCCTGCAATCTCCCTTTGGAGGGTTATTGTCTGATCACCAGGATTGTCTATGATCTCAAAAGGGAAGTCATTTGGTAGATCAATGTGCTGCATAAAAATAACCAAATAAAAATGAAACCAGGTGTTGTTGGCTATAATAAATAGAAACAAGCACAAAATTTATAACATTAGTAACGCATTAAACAATAAAGCAAACTAAAAGGGATTACTACAGATCAGCAGGGGAAAATGAACCAAACATAAAGAACCGATTGCATCTCAAGGTACAATCTCCAAGATATTACAATCCAGGACCCACATGTAAACCTGGGAATGGATCGTGTAAACCCAAAGGCCGAAAGGGCCCCCAAACTCACGGGCCTAATTTTACGGATTGCATATGGGCCATGTAAACAAAAGATCGAGTTGGATTGGATTAGCTTGTAAAAAGGCTGGGCCGTAGATACGGCCCGAGTCGTCGCACGGATCGCTGAACAGGGTCGGCCCGAGGATCTGAAAACGGATTTTGCCTCAGTCGAGGGGCGGCCGAGTGGGGCGGGTCTTGGGAGCTGAGGGGCGGCGGCGGCGCAGGTTGAGGAAGAGGAGGCGGCGGCGGCGGCGGCGGCAGCAGCAGCGATTCGGTGTCCGAGATCCTTCCATCAGCGGCATCGCTTCTCCATCCGTCGCCATCGCTTCCTCAGGGCGGCGGTAGCAGCGATTCCTCAGGCCCCATCGCTTCTTCATCCGTCGGCAAGATCCGTCGGCAAGCGCGCAGGACGCCTCTCCGCTGCCAAGTCCACAAGGTAACAACTAATCCATCCCTCTATCTATCTACTGGTATACTTGGTTCGGCAGGGGCCGTGTGAGGCCCCGCCCCGGTTCGGCAGGGGCCGGCGCTCCTCTACCACCTAGCCTAAGCTGCCGGCCGTTTCGTGGTTGCTGCTTTGGAGCTTGCCAAATATTGCTTGTTTATCTCTTGGTTCCTGCAATCCTGCTAGGTTGAAACTTGAAAGCAATAAGGCATGGTTTCCTGGGTCTAACACATGTTAGCTTCTCAGTTGCTGTGTTCTTCTAAATATGATTCATGATTGTTTGAACTTTAGTTAATCATGCTCAATTTGTTGTTGCCTTCTTACTCTGGATGACTGCAAATTACTGCAAGTATACAAAACGAATAGCCAATCATATTGGCTTCTCCAGTAAGTCTGGAATAGCACTTATGAACCCATGTTTACGAGAATCTTTATATTGTCACCCGAATAAAGCAATCACCAATCAAAGTAAGTGATCAAACATTTGTATTTTTAAATGATCGTATCTTAAGAGTATTTTTCTAAGACCATATCTTCTTCCATGTTCATTCAACACTAGACAACCTAAGAGTAGATGCTGAACCTTCAAGTTGCACGAATCCTTCAGCTATTATTCTTTGTTTTGGTAAATGAACTACTACTTTCTGTTTGACAGACATGCGGTGAGGTGATCAGTAATAAGTATTGATTTAAGGGAGATCATTTTGAGCATGTTATGATGGAGCTCTACTCTGGATATCTTGAAGATCATTTCAACCTCCACAAGCTAAGGTGAGCATTTCCTCTGATCAGATCCCCCTGTTTCATCTGAATGTTTTTTTTTTTAATTTTTTTTGTCCATCTGATGCATAGAAAAAACGCCAATGTTCTGATGACTGTCCAATCAGTCAACTGAAGTAGAATGAGACGTGAAGCAAAAGAGGGAGAGCTAATAGCTTTGGTGCCACTAGCATTAATAGACTAGTAGTAGTTGATGAGAGGACTGAGAGACCGGTGATTCTAGCTAAGTCTGAATGCTCCTTAATGGACTTGACTCACTGAATTGCAATATTCAGACTGCGATAGTTGCTGATTGCAATATTCAGAGTTAGTAACTGTCGAAATCACACGTACTGCTTGGATTGCTGAAACCTGCATACTACTTTCCAGTGTTCTCTGATTTCTGTCTGCTGTGTTGTCTCCGTTTTTTTACGAAATGCAGAGCAAACAATGGTTGCCGTTTAAGCAGTTTAGTATGACTGAATTGATAACAGACTGCAGACTGGCATGGAATTCGATTTGCTTGTTTGTTCAATCCGGTTTGAACATGTGTTTTCTACTGCTATGTGTTCCTTATATCAATACAGGATAGCATTGAGGTGGAAGCGCAAGGGATCTGAACTAGTGTGATTCTATATGCTAACTCATTTACAGTATATTCAGACTCTTGTCTTGCTCTTCAGATTAGTGATGTTGTCATGGCATAATGATTCTTTTTTAAGGTAAATCATGGCACGTGATTGTTGATTAGTTTAGCACAATGATATGTTGTGGTTGACTCGGGAAGCTAGCAAAGCCTTCTTTCAATTTCAGGAAATCTCTGTGCGTTGAGTTATTACATTTGTTATTACTAATTGTCAGTATTTCTTTCCTTGCCTACCCAATTTCCTAAACTTGTGTGCAGAATATTTTCGTGGAAACTGAATTTTTGTGATTATGTCAATCTTCTCAAGAATTTTCACTGTCCAAACCCATTTTGTTCTGGAGTTCTCTTTGTCTGATCTGAAGTAGTTGATGAGGGGATTGAGAGACCGGAGATTCTAAACCTGAATGCTAATTCCTTAATGAGCTTGACTCTCTGAATTTTCCTTGGCAAGTGTCCAGAAATTTGCAACGCTTCTGTCAGATTATTGCTCTAGTTCATTACCTGGATATCTTGTCTTGTATTGCTAATTCTGTATAATAGATTAAAATTTGTGTGGCATTGCAATTCCCAAATTTTACGTTACGCCTCTCTCTGAAACTTGACACTGCGTAACAAAAAGGTAGAAGTGTTATTGTAAACCTGAATGCAGATTCTCAATTGGGCAGAACACAGATTTTATCTATATGGTGTTTTTATATCAGCAGACTGTTCTGGTCGATTATGAATGGTACTATTTCAGTTTGCCGTAGACGTAATGCTACCTGGTAAACACACTGTAAATGAGTTACTCCTAGGATAGAGAATCACACTAAAACAACGGCAGAGCAATAGCTTTCTGCAGCTTTTATCTTTCCTATGGAGAACAGCTGCAGAGCATTCGTCACACTCACACACGACGTCAAGCACCGTTTGCACCCAACTTCAGTCACAGCTCGACATCAGCTGCCTGTTAAACCTCTACTTTTAGTATCATATCTAATTGATTGTCATTCATTGGTTCAGGAGACTCTAATTGATTAGTCTGAGTGTGATATTATGGAGAGGGTTTCATCAGCAACAGCAGCAGAAGTTGAGGATAGTCTTGATGCTATCTCCACTGATCAGTCAGGCCGGTCAGGGAAAAAGAGGGCTAAAGTTTGGGCTTATGTTGACTCGGAAATCGTTGATGGAATTGAGAAGGCTGTGTGCAAGTATTGCAAGCTCCAGTTGTCTTCTGTGTCAGGGAAAGGGACAACTCACTTGAATAGGCATATTGGATATTATTGTCATCATATCCCTCAAGAGGACAGGGACAGATTCTTAGCAACTTTGAAGAACAAGTCTGATAGAGATAATTCTGTATTTGATCCTGTTGTATTCAGAGGTCTGATTGCAAAGTATTTCCTTAGTGCTGAGGTTGCATTTCGAAAAGCAGATGATCCTGCTTGGAAAGAGATGATAAATTATTGCCAGCCTTCATTCAATGTGGTGGGTCGACAAACTGTTCGTGCAGACTGTCTGATCTTGTATGAAGAAGAGAAATTACAGCTACATCAAAAGATTACAAAGTTGAAGTCTCATGTCAGTTTAACTGCTGATTTGTGGTCGTCAAACCAAAATCTGGGGTATCTTGGAGTTACAGCTCATTACATTGATGAAGAGTTTGAGCTCCATAAGAAGATTATTGCATTCAAGCAGATCTCTTTCCCCCATAACTCATTTGCTGTGCAAGATGGCATCACGGCTTGCTTGACGGAGTGGGATTTAGTTGATCGTGTGTTCACAGTGACTCTAGATAATGCAAGCGTGAACAACAGAGCGATTAGAGACTTGCGTGCTGCTCTAGGTGCTCAGATGTTCTTTAAGGGTGAACACATACATGTCAGATGTGCCGCTCATGTGCTCAATATAATGGTCCAAGCTGGATTGCAAGTCATACCAAATGCAGTTGGAAGGGTAAGAGACATTATCAAGGTTGTCACATCTACACCTTCTCGTATGCAAACATTCAACTCAATCGTTCAGGCATTAGGTCTCAAAGGCAAGTCGGGGCTGATTCTAGATGTTCCCCACCGCTGGAATGCTACGTATGACATGTTGAATGAAGCTCTGAAATATAAAGCAGCTCTCAACAGATTCGCAGCAGAGCAGTATCAGGATGTTCCTAGTGAACTAGACTGGCAGAAAGCTGAATCGCTTCACGAATTCCTAGAACAGTTCAGTGAGGCTACAAAAGCATTTTCTGCGGATAGGCATCCAACGGCCCACCTCTTTCTGAAGATGTTGATGGCAGTTCGAGATGTATTGCTTGATGAGACGTGGAATACCAATGAACTGCTCAATGAGTTGGCTGAAGCTATGTATACCAAGTTTCAGAAATACTGGGCTGCGCCTAGTATGGTACTTCTCATAGCTGCTGTCCTAGACCCATCAATGAAAGCTGATTTTGTCAGGTTCTTTTACTTGACTGTTGAGAATGCAGAAGCGGAAGCTAAGATGAGAGAGCTTAGACAATACTTGAAGAAATATTATCTAGAGTATGAGAGGGTTGTGAGGAACAACACAGGTCCTGTCTTCGTTACATATGAAGAGGAAGTTTTAAGTCAGGGAGAATCGAGTTCTTCTGGACTTCGTGGCAAACGGCGTGTAGAGCTTGCATTTGCTCAATTTGCATCACATAACTCGAGTACTCGCTCAGAAAGATCAGAATTGGATATTTATTTGAATGATCCTAGAGTAGTTGTGAGACCGACAGAGAACTTTAATGTTCTAGCATGGTGGAAGAAAAACTCGGATGCCTATCCTATCTTGTCTTTGATGGCCAGAGACTTCTTGTCTATTCCTGTTAGCACAGTGTCCTCAGAATCTGCTTTTAGTGCTGCTGGAAGGATACTTGGTAAAAATAGGACATCTCTCTCTCCAGAAACACTTGAAGCGTTAGTCTGTGCGAAAGATTGGTTGATTGGCTTTAATGATGCAGAAGAAGGTAATTGTCATATTTCAGATAAATATTGCAAAGTCAATTTTATTTACAATAGTGGTTTAATATGTTTGTCTTGTTCAATGCAGGTCAACCAATGACTGGACAACGTATGTTTGAATCAGACGAAGAAGATGATGATTGACAGGTTAGTGCCCTAGCTGTTGGTTCACTAGGAATGTTGTCATATTCATTGTTTAAAAAACAACTTAATTAGACCCTTTATTTGCATGATTGATGTTTGCTATATGCAATTGATCTTCCTTGTCCACTTAGTTTTTGTGTTACTAATGCTAGTGTCACTGTTACTAATGTTCCATTTATTATTTCGCCAATTTCTAGAATATTGAACTGTGTTTTCTGCTTGAGATAAATTTCAAAATGGAGATGGATTTTTATTTAGCTATTCTTCTACATATGTTACTTCAACAATGCTACTGCTAAATGTCCTCCACTAGCAACATGTGTGTCCTGTCCAAGTTGGTAAAGAACATGATTTTTTCTTAAGCTCAACACTAGTACCGTGATATGAAATTTTTTAAGGTAGAGCATAATGCTTGCTTTCATTCTTAATTTGGATTGTAGGCTACTAAAACTGTTATTACATATTTTCATGATCTACACAATTAATTGTGATTATAGCCATGTTAACTTCAAAACCAGCTCCATGTCATTTTCCTGCTCTATATATTCAGTATATGCAAGCTCTGTTCTTTTGTAGCTCCATTCAGCAGTTAGGCATTGTGTTGTCTGAATTTTGCAGCACGTCAGTGCATAGCTTTGCTATGGTTTCAGGTTTGCCTGGTGCAGTTCGAGTGAGAGGAACTGCAGTCCATGAACTCATTTGTATGCATTGTCATTTCCATGACACAATGATCACTAGTTAAATAATTATTGCATGTTTTGTCTTAAGTGCTTATTTACTGAACTGAGCAACGTCTTGTCCTTGTTCATTCACAAGCCTTTTTAGCTAGCTCACTTAGGTTTATTTCTTGTGCTGATCCTTATTTGCTCTTGCCGATTAAAAATATATGCATGTGTTTCAGCTCATATATGTACTTGCTCTCTCACTTAGGTTTATTTCTTGGGAGGCAGCATTGTGTAACCGGTTAATTAGTGATTAATTAATTCATGCTTTGCCGTTCTGCTTCTGTGCCGCTTTGACAACACAATGCCTAATGTGTGCTGAAAATGTCCAAATGTGTGTTGTCTTAATGTGTGGGGCTGGTTATGGTGAGGTGTGGTGGTTGCTGTTTTTTCAGTTTAGTTATCATGTCTTGCTGTTTTTCTAGTGCTTAAGTGCTTGTACTCATTTCCTGTCATTTGCAACAGCCGCAGCTTCTACTACTCTCCTATATGGCAATAGCTGCTGCTACTTTAGATAGGCAATAGTCTTCTTAGTACAAAGATAGGCATGAGTACTTCTGTTCATGCTTTACATGTTTCTTGCATTTTAGATTTTAAAATAAGATTTTCAGTGTTGCTATGTTTCAGGTGCAAGGATCAAATTATTTTGGAAGAAAACTGGTAGTTCTACAAGATGCAGCTGGCAGTCTTACAATGGCATTGTTAGTGAGAAATTGTGACTTATGTCATTCAGAGAAGGACAATACATATTTGCATGACATTATTTCTTATTTTCTTGAATTAAATCAATTTGCACGGACATATGTAGCAGATGGATGGAGAAACTTGGATCCGGCTACATGTAATTTTTATTATTTTTCATCTTTTTAAATTAAATTAACATATCAGTGCTAGTGACCGTGCTCGTGATTTGGTTAATCAGGGCCTTGTACTCATTGCATTACTGTACATGTGCTTGTGAGAGCCCTTAGATTGCATTTAGGATCCGGCCCGAGGATTCAAAAAGGGCTGGGGCTAGATTAGGATGGTGCGACGTGTAGGATTGGATTGAACCGAGCTGAAACAAATCAGTAGGTGCTAGGATCGGGCTGGGTGTAATAATTAATCACATAGGACTGGAGTGGGGTTGGGGCCGGATCACAGCCCATTATCAGGCGGACCCACATGTAATCCTGTACGCATCACTTTATGGCACTCACAATGACTAATATCACAAGATAAAATTACTAGGTCCTTCACCTGACAAGAAACATGTACATTTCAATTATTCTCAAACTTTGACTGTAGCTTTCCATTTAAACTCCGACAGGATTCAGAAAGTGCAAATCGAATATCTGAATAGCAAAACCATCTTATTATCGATATGTTAAAAGTTCACTGTCTAAAATATAGCAGATCAGAATTCAACTATACAATGCTAACCAAGATTCTCAAAACAAAGGAAGTGCAGTCACCATGGTATTCTAGTAACCAAATGATCTCCCGCCAAGTCAAGAAAACCATATCTTTCTTTCCCTCTGTTTTATGAAGTTTTGTGTTTTCTTAGTATCGTGTTATCACTAAATAAGGTTTTCCTTTTCATTATGTAATCAAATATGGCAGATCACAACATTCAAAGTTTTCTAATGGTAGCAGACAAATAGATCCAATGGCCAATAGCATGCCTGCTACTGTATTTCTACAGTCCTGACAGAAATTCAAGGAACAGCCAAACCTCTACTCTGCAAATCGGCATGGTGAGTTCTAATCCACAGGCACTTAAACTCCAGAATTTCACCTTTTGAAACAAATCTAAACATTTTGTTGACACTAAAAATGACTAATTTATAAATACCAAAGAATCCAATGGAAGCATCTGGTAATCACCTAAGCATTATTTCTGAGCTAGAGATACAGTGAATTCTAAGATGAAGTAGGTCCAGTATGCCGAACTGCAGTGCCACTAGCCAATCCAATTAAGCAATTTCTAAGGACCATCTGCCATCTCCGTTCAATTGGAAGCCAATTTCCTTGCAGCCTCTAACAGAAACACCTCTATCTAGGCCTTGTTTAGATTGCCTCAAAATTCCAAGTTTTTTCACTCTCTCTCCATCACATCAATTTTTGAAGGCCATGCATGGAGCATTAAATGTAGGTAAAAAAATAACTAATTACACAGTTTGGTTGTAAATCACGAGACGAATCTTTTGAGCCTAGTTAGTCCATGATCGGAAAGAGTTTGTCAAATACAAACGAAACGTGCTACAGTGTCCAGATTGCAAAAATTTGCAATCTAAACAAGGCCCTATTTACGGATTCCTAATCCCATTCCAATAAAATCAGCAACCCTTAGACTCGAACTCTGACCATGACTTTGGTGAAACAAGGCTAAACTAATGACGCAGATATGGAATCGAAATACTACAGCGAAGCAAGCAAATAAGATGAAGAGTGAACCTTGTCGGCGGTGCTCTCCTCCGACTGGACAACGCACTCGATCTCAGACTCGATGACGCGCCTCAGGTTCTCGTCCGCGGAGGACTTGAAGGAGGAGGACGCCGGGGACTGCGACGCCAGGAAGCGGCGGGCGGTGGTCCCAGCTGACGACGAGGTGGCGGCAGGGAGACGGCGGGGGAGGGGAACGGGCGCCGAGGAATTGAGTCCGCGGCGGGCAAGAGGGGAGAAAGGAGAGGAAGAGGTGGTAGCGGCGCGGCGTAGGAGCCGAGCGGCGAGGGACGCCGGCGACATGGCCTGGTTAGAGACTGTGATTCCGCTCTAGGGGTGGACGGCGGCCGGTTGCGGAGCCTAGGGTTTTGGACGGGTTTATTAAGTTGGAGCGTTTTGAGAAATCTGAGCCCATGCTTAGGCCCAAGTAAGATAATATATATAGCCCAGTCCAGTGAACACGTAACGAATAGATATTGGGGGAATTTCGGGTGCCATTAAAAAAGATCGCAACGGTGTTGAGCGTCACTGCTTCAACTTTTTTATGTCTTCCATGTCACTACCGTCAGTTTGGGCTCTAACGTCGTTAAACTGCAGGTGTGAAAAGTTGAAAATACCCTTATGCCTAGATATGTCATTATTTTTTTTTTGAACATCTTAACGACTTCAAATAAGAAAACTCAAAACTAAAAAGTTGTAGATCTCATCGAGATCTATAATTTTTATATAAAAGTTATTTTCATTTAATTCCGCAAAAAAGATATGATTTTTCTAAGATATATTAATCATATCAAATCATATTTTTTTTACAAAATTAAATGAAGATAATTTTTATATAAAAATTATAGATCTCGACGAGATCTACAACTTTTTAGTTTTGAGTTTTTTCATTTGAAGTCGTTAAGATGTTCAAAAAAATTAATGACATATTTAGACATAAGGGTATTTTCAACTTTTCACACCTGCAGTTTGACGGCGTTTGAGCCCAAACTGACGGCAGTGGCATGGAGGGCACAAAAAGTTGGAGCAGTGATGCTGAAGACCGCTGAACTTTTTCAGGGGCACACAGGGCATTGCGATTTTTTTAATAGCACATAGGGAATTCCCCCATAGATATTTTAGTGAAAAAATACTTTGTAATTAGTCATACTCTACTCTGGATTTCTCATTAGCCAAAGACAAAAAGCGAAATTAGCTCTTTAGAGTACTCATAAGATATAAAAAAATGTTAAAGTGCAAAAAGAGGTACAAAGCAATTTTTATTTAAATGGCTTTCTAAATGATGATTTAACAAGTGTGTTTAAGAAAGACTCTTAAAGATGCTCTAAGAAAAAGGTACATTTTTCCTCTCTAAAATACAGTGGGAGTTTAGTTTTGTTCCTCAAACTTCAAATCTAGCAAAATGTCTTCTTTTATACTCAACTATTTAAAATTACCTCCTAAAGTGGTTGTCAAGGCAGTTTCGTTCTTTTTAATAAAAAAATTGGTAAACACATGATAATAAGGTTTTTAAACCATAAAAATATTTTTAGGACTCTAAATTATTTTTATAAAAATTCCAAAGATATATGGAGACATATATAAAAATAGAAAAATACTCAAAAATTATGATCAATGTTAAATGTGTTTTAAAAACTTTTCAAACTAAAAATATTAGATGCAAATAGCATAAACAAAACACACACTAATGCTGAATGTGTTCATGCTGGCTGCATATCATGTTTTTATTGTTTAAAGTTTATAAAACATAATTAGGGATCGATTAAAATGTTTTAGAAACTTCTCTAGATTTCTTGGATAATTTTTCATTTCCCCATAGATAAATATATAGTTAGGGTTTCTGATATCTAACTCTCCCTATAAGGTTTTCTTACATTTTTTAAAAAACTTATAGAATTTTTTGTAACTTAATTAAAAACCTTCTCTGATGTTTACCATTTTTATAATTAAAAATGATGAAAACTGCCTTAAAACACTTTTAAGTAGGACATGAAGATAATTTGAACGGTTTTCAAAGTTTAAGAAGGCGATTTATCCGATTTTAGAGTTCAAAGAGAAAACTCAGACTCAAAATAGTTTGAGGAGGTAAAAAATAACTTTCTTTTTCTTCTGGCAAGGCCAAAACATGATCCACTACAAAAATCAGCAAGGGGAGGTTGTAGGCTCTGTTTTTGTGTGGCTTCTTTAGCTAGCTTCTCTAGTTTAAAGAAACAAAAAATTCTAAATCTCTTTGGTGATTATAGTTTTTAGTTTATCCACTTTTATACAAATCTATTTTTCCCCTGCCCATTAGGGCAGTCCCAGTAAAGAAGTTGTAACACCCTAGGTTAAACACGAGCATTTGTGTGCATCTCATGAGCATAAGCATATCTCCTTCATACATGTGCATTGCATAACATTTTAAGTTGATTATTCACATGTGATGGTGCTTTTGATTTTCATAAAATAGGATTTTGGTTAAAATACAATACATGAAAACCAAAAAAAGGTCAAATGGTGACCAAACAATCCAAAATTTAATCCATGAACAAAAGTTAGTAAAGGTTTATAGTCATCATACCACATGAAAATGCCCGCAAAAGGCTCAACCCTAAGTAAAATTAATTGTTTTATTGGGTTGTTTAGGATTACATAACTCTTAATTTTGTATGGACAGTTAGGCCCCCTTTGGAATTCAGTTTTTTCCTATCTTCTGTGTTTTCCTATGAAAATAAGCTAGTTCCTATGAAATTCCTATATGATTCCTGGATTCCAAAAGGACCTTAAAATGTGATCACAGGAAATAGAAGTATAAAACATCTACTCTAACCTAGAGCCTGTGAAACTCGTGGAGAAGCTAATTCCAAAGTGGATGTTCAGATAGTCAAGGGCATTCCCATCTTTCGATCGCGTCCACCGGGTCATTTATCGAAAGAAGCTCATGGAAGTAAGGGAGTGTCGAATAAGGCACAAAAGATAAAAATGATATCAAATAACATAAGGCAAGAAAGATAAAACTGATATCAAATAAAGAAGACTAAAATTTGAGGTCAAATAAGGGAAGTACAACTTTTCAGTATCAAATAGGAAATTTTCTTTAGTATTTTTTGTCAAGTTATGGCGTGTCTAGTTAGCCATATAGACCAAAAAATTGCACTTATTGCCACGCGAACTTGAGATTTCAATTTTGGATCTACTTATGGTAACAAAAATTCACAAAAATATCTTTACATTCTCTGCTGGTTGAAAAGAGAATGCCTTAAACCATTCTCTAGTGTGACGTTGAATATCTAAGTGATTTCCTTCGTTGTTTTAATTTCAATTTGTTTCCATATTCTGTTTTGTGTTATTTGAATATTGAAAAATCTTGAGGTATCATCCATTGTGTGTTGTTGTATATTTGGATTATTTTCTTCTTTGTTTTTAGTAAAATTTGATTATGTTATGTTCAGGGTGACTCTAGTCAGCCAACACTGATGACTTGCCAAGAAGCCTTTAGACCCTTTGTTTCTTGGTCCCTATAACCCTAATAAAATTAGAACCTAGCCCTAGTAGACCACAACCTAGCTCATAACTTATAAGATAAGCCCACAAGGATGTGAGCCTACTACATGGATATAGACTCAAGAAGGCTAGCAATCAATGGTGCAACACAACATCCAACAGTCCAGAAGTCCATAGGCTAATAAGTCACATCCTTGTAGAACGATCTATTCATGTAGACTCACCTATCACATTACTGGACTTCCCATTCAATTCATCCTTCTCATGGTCGTGGCATCATGGTGTCGTGTTCACGCCTCACAGTCTGGCACATCCTGTAGGCGTGAGTCCACCGGTGAACCTACGGCCTAGCGACCCTAGACCTCTGCTCAGGCTCATCAAAGTTTGACTCCACTAAATTTAATTAGTGTGCAGCCCATGTATAGGGGAATTAGGCATACTTAGCTGCTTATCTCACTAAACCGTACAAGGATTTGTTCGAGCCTACAAGGTACACCAAATCTAAAAAATTGCAATTGTTTGAGTAACTTATCCGGCGTTCCATTCATAAACCTAGTAGTCCAATGGTGGATAAAAAACATCTTGAATTTCATTTGGTATATTAACTCCTCAAACTTATGCTAGTTCTTCATATCGCCACAACATAAGTGGAAAGGTGTTTTTTAGCTGTGAAAATTGTGAAGATAGAATAGAACTATGAAAGCATATTGTGGTCATAGAATTATGGATGGATCAGTGTTATCCTAATGCTTAATAGTAAACAGTCAATCACTTGTTGTTTAGCCATTACTTGGACTAAACAGCCACTTAGATATGCAAAACGACCATTTTAACGGGATAAACGACTAATAACGGAAACAATGAACCACTATGTAGCATTTAAATGGTGTGTAAATGGGTTTATGGGTGATTGTATCATTTTCTTCGTGGAACAAGAATTTCTCGATGCAATTCCAAATGATGATACCATAGTTCACTTTCAGAATATGGATGATCGTACCCTTAGAGTTAAATTATATAAGAGGTAATCACTACTGTAAAGAGTTTATTTTGTAAAATTATGATATTGCTAAATTTCATCCCTTCATGGATGCTTGATTCTTGCAATATGTGTCGTTATTAAAACTTATGACTATGTTATGCATGGTGTTGGATTATTATAAGTTTTGGTCATAAGTTTGTGCCAACCAAGTGATAAATTATCCTAGTTTCGCCCTGGTTATGTTTCTTGTGGTATTCAATTGAAAATTTTTAGTGTATCATTCACCTTTTTCTATAATAATGTTTTGATGTGTTCCTATTAGTTGAAAATGTGGGTGGTAAATAAATGGAAAATCACCCGTGTGGTTACCAGGATTCAGGAACCACATAGGAAAAGTCTTGTTATTGGCATGGAATGCATGCAACACAGTGGAAGAACCAGAAGCATTGGCCTATTTGGAATGCATCTAACTAGTGGCAGAATGGATTAGAATGATGATAGTGCTAGAGTCTAATTGCCATAATGTAGTGCAGACGTTGTGACTTGAGGAATGGAGGAAGAGTGATGACTGAAAAAATGCATGCATGGAGATGCTTGCAAGTGGTGGAAGTGGAAGTTTGCAAAGTAAACTCATGTCGCACATTGGCTTCTCACGACGCTTGATGAATTGGATCTCCCTAATCCTGTTTTTAGCAAGCACAAGCATACTTCTGGATGGACAGTAGAATTTGCCATGCTAAGGGTTGCCGCAGGGGAGACCCGCTATCATCTATACTTTTCATCCTAGTGGTGGAAGTCCTTAATGTTGTAATCCAACATGTAGAGAATTGGCTTATCT